CAACAACACATTAATTGGATGGCTTAAGAGACTGATCAACCACAGTACCAAGATCTATTTCTTCCATAAGACTCTTAAGGGTATTCCCATAACAATTAGATTCATAATTCAAACTGTGCTATCCCAAATGCATTTCTTTTCACTTATTATATTTAAAAGTCATCTGACATTTATTTGTCCAACTCATCAAATAATCTAAATCCTTTTATAAAGCAGTAGCATTTTCCTCATGGCCCATAATTCCTAAAACGTTAATTTCATCAGTAAATTTAAATAATTTATTGACCATTTCTTCATCTATTCATTGATATAAATCAAAAAGACCAAAGGTCCTAACACTGATCCCTGAGATATCCTGTTTGTAACATTAATCCAGTTTGATTGAGCTTCATTTATAATAACCCTTTGCTTTCTTCTATCTAGCCAGTTTTCTATCCAATGGGCCAATCTGTTCTCTACACCTACAGAGTTAATGTTTTAACAAGCCTGTTATTTAACTATTATGTAGCACCTTATCAAATGCTATCTGAAGACCCAGATATATGAAATCCATACCTTTACCTTCATCTATGTATAGCTGTAACCTCTTCAAAATATGTAACAAGATTAGTAAGGCAAGATTTTATCATAGAGAAATCAGCTGACTATCCAACAAAACTCCAAGTTTGTTAAAATATTTTGCAAACATGTTTTATTAGACTTTCAAAACATTTTCTTACCACTGATGTAAGAATAATAGACCTACAATTATTGGGACAATTTTTATCACTTCTCTTGATAAGAGGAGTAACATTAGCCAACTTCCAATCTTCTGGCACTTGCCCATTGTTCAAGAACTCAAGATAAAAATAGTAGCAAGTGACTCACATATTTAATCTTTAACCTCTTTCAAATCCCTTGGGTAAACATTATTTGACCAAGGAGCCTTATCACTCTTTAAACTTTCCAACTCTTTTGTAAAAAGCTCAGAATTAATGTGATCATCTTGTTGAATCTTGATTCTATCAAGTAACCGTTCAGGATGAGGAACATTGCTTAAATCTTCATTAGTAAAACCTGAAGAAAAAACAGAATTTAATAAACCAATCATCAGATATTAGCCTTCATGTATCATCCCTCAAAAGTCCTACTCCAATCCAAACATTTTGCTTACCGTAATGTATTTAAAGAAATCCTTACTATTAAGTTTTACATTGTTAGTCAACCTTTTTTTCATATACTTTTTTATTTCCAAATTTCCCATTTGATCAAAAATCTTGATCCTCTATACTCCTACACATTTTCCATTATTGTAGCAAATTCTCGTTAATTTCACCAGTTTCATATGGTGGTCTGTAACAATTTCCAAGTAAGAGCCTTCTCCCCTTATAACTACTAACATAAATTCAATCTCATTGCTATTAGCTTTGATATTGTCAATTTGAACAGGTTGTAACTCACACATTACATATAAAGCCACTCCTTCCCCATTTTTAGTACTCTATCTATATTAAATAGTCTATAAACCTGTATTTCAAAGAAATTTCATTCATCAAAATTATCTAAATTTAGACAGGTTTTAGTTATTCCCATTATATCGAAATACTCTGTTCCAGCCAATACTTTAGTCATCCACTGTATTTTTTATACTGTTAGTATTACAATAATAACAGTTTAGCCTACTACTGAAATCACCTTTGTATTTTGTTACCACACTAAACTCCTTAAATCTTATTTTTTCTTCATTATTTTGGCCCTTTTCATGGACTAATCCAAGTTTAAAGTTGCTCTTACAATTGACTTACAAACAAGTTAGCCACTACAAGGCTGCTTTGTGACTGTTACATGGAACAGAAACTGCATTTAGATGCCCATTTTTGGATTAGTCAGGTGCAGAAAAAATATAAATGCAGTTTTGACACTTTCATAAATATTCCTTGGTGTGCTCACAGAGAACAGATTTGTTTTTACTATGGAGGAGTCAATACTTGCTGTTGAAATTCTGTCCATATTTTACGATTTTTCTGTTACTTTTGTTGATCATTTGAGTCATCTTTACATGATCTTTAAATACAACTTATTTTACTTTTTAACATAACATATCATGATGCAATAGTCCTTTCCTCCTGTATGATTGGCTGTTCTTCTATTTTTTCCTCCAAGAAATAGTTTTCTTCACCTTCTCAAGAAGTCATGTGTCTTTCACTCCACCTGTGACAAGTCATTGCACTCACCTTTTCACATACTAAGTCCCTGAACCTCTCATTTTTTTGAAGAGATCAGGTTATTGTGGGTGGTAGGTTTATCCTTGAGATTTCTACATTATATTTCATTCTAAGAGAGCTTTTGTTCATTTGATGAATAGTTTTTGAATATTTTGACAATAAGTTTCAAGGTGTATTTAACTCATCAAACACTATTGCTTACTGTTTAATGTGTTATAAGACTTAAAATAAAAGCCTTGAGTTGTTCTAAAAAAATATTTGGAACATGCAATATATCACAAATTCTATAGTTTCTTATACATTTATGTCTCAAAATAAATATTAGGATTAAGACAAATATAGATTTTTGATAGACCATTAATTTGTTAATTCAAAATGTATAATTATTTATCAGAAGTAGCAGTTTAGACTTTTTCAGCAATTACAAAACATTTTATTGTACCTTATATGATTGATAGCACCCAAAAACCTCAAGAATAGCTCATGTGTTGCACACAGGCAGATAACAACTCAACTGGTAAATACAGAGTTACAGGTAGATCTAGTACCAATATTATAAGTACAGAAATTATGCCATTAGGAAACAATTATTAAGAATTGAACCAAGTTAGTAGCGGATGAAAGTGTAACATTATTATAATTTTTATAATGCATTAAATCAGCAATAACAACAGAAAATTTTTCCACACTGTTTGAAAATTACAGTACCAACTTTAACTTTAAGAGCATACCACACTAAATGTGTATACTCTTGATGAAATAGATCATATGCAAATAAAATAAAGAATTTAATGAAATAGCATCCAATATTAGCTTTTGCTTAGCCTCAAGTAAGATTTTTAGGTAAACTTCACCAAAGAATGTTCAAAATACCCATTAAATACTTACCAACAAATGTGATAATTTACTTCAAAGTTGTGGTGATTGATTATTAATCCTTATCATGGTTAGTGGCCTATATGATCAACTAAGTCTAATTATTGATTAGTAACTTTTTAAAATATTTTACTCTTCAATGTAACTTACTGTAATGCAATAATCCTGTACACCTGTATGATCAGCCATTCTTCTGGGTGTGTGTAGACCTCAGGTAAATGGTTAACACACAAGACTTTAAACAAGAAGACATATGATTTGAATCTCGACCACTACCACCACAGATATAGCCCTTATGAGGACTTCCTTGAAGGTCACAGAAATTTAACAACTGAAACATAGAATAATGCTAGTTGATAATTAGTTACTAATTGATAATTAGACGTAGGTCAATGTATAGGCTACTAACCATAACATTGATAAATGATAGTGTCCCTGTATACATTTTTTCAATTTCTAAACTTACATATTGAACACTGTAGTGGAATCATATTAGGCTGATAAGTGTACTAACATCACAAAGATTTTATTACCTGAAGTATCAACCATACTTTAATAGTTTATGGCTTGTTCTAAACCCCTAAAACTATTTAATGTTTTTCATTTATCTTATTATTAGAACTTTTTAAAATTCAGCATTTTTTTAGCTTGTTTAGATTTTTAAAGTGGACCTTTTGAAAAACTAATCTGTTTCTGTTTAGAATCAACCACTCTAAGAAATTACAGAAAACATTACTCACCACCATGACATCTCTGGTGACTATTTTCCACTGCGCAGTATTCTATTTTGTACCTTAAAACTACGTTTTTTTGGGCACTGCATGGTAGCTCCCATTCAACCTTTAGGTGCCTAATACCTGGAGCGAGACGAATATTCTGGACCTTGGCCAATGCTGTGGTTAAATTAATTTCTTACTTCAACATCAAAGTAATTATCAAGACACTGTTTCAACAGAAACCTTAGAAATGCCCATAATGAATCATAATTCCAGGAATATTTGCAAATAGTGAAAGAAACAACTTCTTATAAATATAAATGGACCATAAAAGTTGAAACATATATATTATACAAATATTCAACACAAGACAAAATCACAAATTTCAAGTTCAAAAACATACTTAATTAGAAGCAGTGATACTATTGTATTTTATAAAACTGATAAGTCAGGAAAATTATCATTGCAATAACTAGAGCATATAGTTCATTAAAATTACATTTCTTCTATAGCGTAAAAACTTATAATTCAGTAAAGGTAAACTTTAATAATAACATCAAAAGCATCAATGTTCTTTTGTAGAAAATGCTCACAAAGCTGACTAAAGGTAAATTCATATAGTTCCACTCAACTTGTACAATATTTTCTGTATGCTTTCATGGTTTAGGTTTTGACTTTTTGATACATTTTCAAAGTGAACATACTTATATCAAAGTGAGATTTCAAGAGTGATCTTGTTGAGTACAAATAAGAAATTTAAAACTGAATAATAAAAAGGAACATCAATTATATAGTATGACTAATAAATACTTCAAGATATTTCTTACTGTCAGGTTTTATAGGGTTGCAATTCTTTACAGTAGGTGTCTGTAACTTGTTGGCAATAAATCTTAACAATAAACGGACAGCACACAATCCACTTGTTTTAAAATAATATATTCAAAACAAGTCAAATGTATATACAAATGTTCATTACACAGTTAATCACCACAGTTGTATCCAGAGCTTTAGATAATCATCTCTTTTTGTCAAAATCCACACAGGCTGGTTCAGTTACTTTACAACACAGTTGACAAGACAAATTCTTCTTCTCTGCTCTGTTTTTACAATACAATCGGTGATAATTTCACTGTTGTTAAACTGTTTGTTACCACAATTGCATCCAGAGTTTTTATTTAATTGTCTCTTTTCATCAAAAGGCCACATAGTTCTCATTGTTACAATACAATATGCAATAATTTCACTTTATAAATCGCCACAAAATGCTCTTATAGCTAAACTTACAAAAACACACTTTGTTGTACTTCATATTTACTTCACTAACGTACTTGCTTTCTGTATCTGCTTGTATTAATAACGAGACACAAAAAATTTAGAAATATCTAGCCCTTTAGTAACAACTATATGACACATAAGGAGAAAAACTTTGAAGCTTCGAGTAAGATGACATCAACAATATTGCAAAAGCCTAGTACAACAGTTAAACTGCATGCACAGTGTATGACTTATACCAAGTTATGTATTAAAACTTCCCATAACTATTGCTTTTAAAATAATTAACTTTTAACCCTCTTGTTATGAAAACTAAATAATCATTAAATATCAAATCACTAAATAATAATAATTAAATTGAACAGTTTTGTATATCCAACACCTATTAATTTCACCTATCAAATAAATCAGTTTGATCAAGTTTTATTCAATACCATGTTTGCTAAGAATGAAATAAGCTATATTACACTTATATATTATACCAGCAAACTGATATTGTTGTAGCATTCTAATATCATATTCTATTGATACATGCCACTTTCCAACTAATAATGACAAAAACCTTCAAATCCTAATAGAGACAAAACTGGAAGAAACAAACAAATATATACTAATCGATAAAACGTAATCATGACTAATGAAACATTAAATAAAAGAAACTGCTAAATTAAGGCAACAGAAATCTAAAATAAAACAGGTTACAAATTAATTTTTCTATACCCTTTTAGAGTTACTAGCATGAAAAATACTAGTATTCATTGCAGAGTTCAAAGGCTCCTTCACAGATCCCCCAGTGTATCAATGTGAATTTATATAGGACACTTTTTCAACATCAGTAATATGTAAAATTAAATAAAATTCTTTAAAAAGGTTAATATATTTTCTCAAATGTTATATTAATTTTTTTGACACACATCCTTTACAGTAAACTATCAAATGTGTTGAAAACATCTTGTTCAACAATTTCTTTAAGAAATGTTTATGTGCTGTGTTTTAGCTAACTTAAACTTCATATACTCACTAGTAGAGTAGAAGAAATATTTTCACCTTTAACAAAAAAGATGAGATATTAGATCTTACCTTCTTCATATGACATAATACATGATGCCCATTTCATGCCTGAGCTATTTGCTGTTGAAACTGCTGAAACAGCAAACTGGTAGTTGATATCACCAGATAGTTGAATGAATTCATATCTCTTACTGACAGGAACAGAACGCCACTGAATTGGATGCTCACATAGGTGAGGGTGAAGACTTTGGCACCAAAAAACAGTAAAACCACTAACAGGAGATTTACTTTTTTCAGGATAATCCCATATCACCCTGTAGTTCCTATTTTTGTAGGATATGACAGTGACCTCATCAGGTACAGCAAGCACTAAAATTTCAAAGATTATGATTACAATATTAGTAGCTAACATGATATATGAGAAAAAAAAAGTTTTCATTTTGACATACAACTTCCAATAGAATTAACATACTAAGTGTTTGTGGTACACTGGAATCCTTTCTAATGAATAAGTTAGATATTACAACAAAAACATACAAAACCAAAGAAAGATAAAAGTATCAAAAGTGACATGTAAGATATAATGTGGATTGCATTTCATCTCCAACTCATTGTATCTCAGAAATAGTTCATAACATATGAGGCATAAAAAATGTCATAACACAAAATAGCTTTAATAGTTTTAGCAAATATGAATGTTGGAAAAAGTATATTTCATTCACAGTCATTTATCATCTAATACATATATGTATCACAAATATGCAAAACCAATATTTTGATGCCTTTAGGCTAAAGGAGGTATTGAGCTAATATAGTTACATACATCTACTACATTTTTATATGTAGGTCCAACAGTTTTAAATTATTGGACTGTTATTTCATATATTTTATCTTTGGTACCATACTAATGTACTTCTAACAAATAATCTTAGCTTTTATAGTTATCTGTGTTAAGTTTTAATCCTTATAAACTCAAGATAATTGAGATGGAATGTTTATTTTTACAACTGTCCATATTGAAGTTCTTACTATGTGTATTATTTTTTATATTATAGTTCAAATCAATATTGAATTATAAGATAATTTTACATTTTTGACATATGGTATCCCTAAATGGCTAGGTAATTTCTACGTTTTGAAAGCATGTAAATGTATAAAGAAAAGATCAATCAATTTTAGGCTATAGATGGATATAAACCTTAAGATTTAGTCTTGTATTGCACCTACTTTTTTAGCAATAGTCTTTTTTTGGTGTTCACAGTGATATTTGATCATAACCCACAACAATTATAATGTTGCAACATTGTTGGTAGATTTAATTATATTATCTAGTGAAAATAGTTTAAAATCCAGTCTACATAAAGAAAGCAAATTAAATTATTTCTTCCTAACCGTTTTAAAAGCTTGAACACTGCTGTAATATGTATGTCATATTTTCAGCCATGCTGACTGTAATAAGTAATGTAAAAATATACTTTCTTGTACATATATAGTCTTTCAACCACCAATTCCTCAGGACATGCTGGAGTATTTGGTTACACTATGCCTCAGTCACTAGATGAAGAATTATTGCTAATAACTTTTGTTCTGAATGTTTCACTTCTTAGCGGTGCAGTGACCACCATTCTTGTTTCCAGTAGAAGTTCAACCTGCTGCGTCATAACTGCCAAGAAGTGCACAGGAATTCCATGATTGCGAAACTACCTGAGGCTAGCTCAACAGCACATACAAGTTTCCATATGAAGTCAGTTCCAATCAATTACCCACACATCACAAGGAATATATAGAAATTTCCAACAGTAAGGGTAAGTTATAGCTTTCCTCCTGCCAGACTTTATGTTCACTTGTTTTTCACATCACTCCCTCTTCATTTCCAATTTGTGGAGGCAATTTCCAGCCTTTCATTAACAAATTGGATCAAAAAGTTGTATCTATGGAACTGTGTCAATCAACATACTGCAATGTTTTTCCATAAACAAACACATGGACTCAAAGATGATTTTATTCAATTATTGAACTTCTTTTCTCACTTAGGGTAGATGAAGTATTTGCAGCTGAACTTTGCCTCATAAATTCAGCTAGTTCCTGTCTTTTTGATGTTTGGTTAGCTTTCTGTTGTTCATTTGATGTAGTTGGGCTTAAAGGCACATTCTAAGGGTATTGTTTCCTAGGCTTAATAACAGCTGTTGATTCCATATGTTCTCGGTGATAATAGCCATACTTCCCAAAATTATAGCAGCTTTCTCTTCCAAATATCCTCTGGGAGGAATTCTTACTACATACAAGCTTTAATCTACAGCTTCTCACAATATATTCTTTCAAGTTGAATTTGAAACACCTATTTTCTTGTGGTTTTTTTCTTCCATTTTGTGTAACTAGTTGTCTGATAAATTCTTTTAGTCCTTTGAGCTAGACTATTCTTAGAAGGATTTGATGTTTCAATTACAACAGGATCTAATATTCTCGTAACTTCTAGATAGTGCATTTTGTCATTTAGCTGCCACTTTAATGGATTCTAGCGTGATCATTAACTACAAAGTTTCCTTTAAAGGTTAACATTTTCTTAAATTGAAAATGTGTTTCCAATAATACTTACTTCCTTTTACACTTACAGCTATTACTCAATTACCAGGTTTTTTTTCTTTGCCCATCTAAGCACTGGTCTGATTTTTTCTCGCTTTTTCCAGTCTTCTATACCCCACTTAATTGCTGTTGGCAATATTTGTCTCGTGACACTCCCCACTTATGTCAATGTGCCCTCAATCCTGGTACTGTATATAGGCACTTCATTCTGATAAAGTTATCACTTTTCAAGACTGACTCAACCCCATTCTCTAACACCAGCTGTTAGTGGGGAGGAAGGGAGGGAAAGTGTGAAAGAAGGTAAGTATTATTTGAAATACATTTTCAATTTAGGAAAATGTTAACTTCCAAAACACACATACCGCTGGTGAGGGCATTATTCATAGAGAAAGTGTCTGCATAGATCATGGGTGCGTCAATAGAAGATTGGCACCCTAGTTGGGGAACTGCACTACATCCATAACAGGTATGCTCTTCACCTCGAACTTAATTCGAGGTGAAGAGGGTGGAATTGTACATGAGTGACCATCACTATAGGCCAGCCCCAACCATATGGCTAAGGTTCCATTACTTAAGGTTGGAATTAATAAGAGGTCTTGGTTCCTATATCCCAAATTGGTGGCTAGGGCAATTGGATTGCAATTTAGATATATATTTATGAGTGGATCCTAACCTGTAGCCATAGAGTGATGAGTTATGAGCTACCAGAATCACGACAAGAAGTCAAGCAACACTGAAGTAGAAAAACCTTCTCCTCAACCTGTAGAAGTCCAAAAGGCAACACCCCAGGCTTAGAATGATGGGATCATTTATGCCTTACTCAACCTCAGGAAATAGAATTCATTCAGTCTGGAACTATGAACACTCATCCTCCCTCCACAACTGTGTGGGCAAGGTAAATTCCACCTGGCCCTGGAATTATCGGTAGGACTTGGAGCAAACTGTTCTCAACTAAAGACCCAGGATGGGACCACTCTGCATTTGGAATTACAGGGAGACAATAGACACTCTTCCATGAACAATGTACTGAGCCAATATTGGTCAAAAAGATGGGTCAAATCTGAACCGGCATTATGAGTAGGCTCCCATGTATGCTGGTGCCTCTCCTACTAACATCTGGAAAAAACATCCAGGGAACCAGGTAGGAGGGACTTGAAATTTGCTCTCTTTTCCAAGAGTGGAGAAATTCACTCTAACACTCTGGAGGAAAAGCCTCTGTCCACAACCCAGGTGACTGGAAACTGGATGTGATAAGGACTCCCTAGTTCCAACAGTAGAATCTAGGGGACAATGCACATTGGGGGAGTCCTGAGGAACAGTACTCTCAAAATAGTGCAATAGGTGAACAAACAAGTTCCCTAAATTTTTTAAAAGCAAACCAACCTAGATTTATTTAGTCCAATGATCGGCAGGATCTCCATATGCTTTACTCATGAAGTCCATGAGTAGCAGTCCAGCAAGGTACAGTAATACCACACGATCAGCCCGTAGATGGTCTCATGGAACACCTCATTTCTACAGAGCCTGTTTCAACCTAGATAAAGTATATTTAATTAGTATTTGCTAGTGCAGAATTGGTTTGATAAAAGCACACCTGCTTGGGCAACACTTGCCACAGAATGGGATCCTGTGGAAATGAGGATAGGAACCCTGAAAGCTAGCAGTGAAAATACTCACCCCTCTGTATAATCTAGTGGAAATTGTTAAGATATCTATAGGGGGTAGGCAAAAACCCTCAGATGAAGATACTGCCAGATCATGCAAATAATGGGAGATAAAAATATTGGGGGAGGTCCACATACCAGTCTGCACAATGTCCTTCAGTAGTCAATTCAACTGGACCACTAAGAACATAGAACATGAAGAATCTGATTAGACATGACTCGCAGAAGATTCCTTGCCTTCAAAGAGAGCTCAGAATAAAAAGTCATTGTCTAGCATCTCTAAAGACATTAGTGTAGGCAATAAAACCTTCAAGACCATCACTGAACATGACAACAATCGAAATCTAATCAGTCATAGAAGTGAGAAATAGTGATCAGATGAATTGGTGAAAAGGATTTATCCCCATACTTGTCTGACAGTGTCTTGGGTAAGAAGAACTTGTCTGAGGATGTAGAGAGAATGATAAAGTGATCTGTGGACAAACAGCACAAACCACTCTGACCAGTGATGTCTGTAGGTCAGCAGCAATGAAAAATAAACCTTCAGGTAAATGGGATACATGGCATATATAATAGGTGTTGATAAAAAGCATGTAATGTAACATTAATATACCTGTTAGGTAACTGGTAAGGTCATTTGGGACCAAGAACCCAAAGTGACTTGAGGAATCTGGAGAGTACTGGAGACTCAAAGAAAATTTATTTACGAGAATCAAATGGTAGTCGATAAGGCCACCTTAACCGGCATGATTGTGGAAGATGCAAAAACACTTGCCAAAGAGCCAGGTCAAAAACGAGTTATGCTTGGCACTTATGATTAAAGTGGGTTCAACCTCCTCTCAATACATCATTGCTGATATGCGTGTCATTTCCACTGAGAAATGTTCATCTCAGGACTAAGCAAAAACTGAGATGGATACATGGCAACTGCATAACCTCTAAGCCTGAAGCTTGAGCTTCTGGATAGCCAGGTGTACCATGTCAGATCATGAACAAGTGGAAGAGGTGGACACTCCTGAAGGTACCACAGAAGCAGAAACCAGGGTGTAGGTGCCAATCCAGTGCTATCAACAGGACCCAACAATGGGTTGGTACTAATTATATTTAGTACCTTGGGCAACATATGAATTGGAGAGAAGGCCTAGATTTGTAATCCCGTTTCCATCCTGATGGAATGCATCCATTGCAAAAGTCTGAAGGTGAGGTACTGAAGACCAAATTGCCAGTTGTTGGGTGTTCCAATGTGAGACCAACCCACCAACAAGAGTTGCAAAAGAAGAGCCAATTCAACAGAACCTTATGATGCAGCATCTATTCTGTTGGGAGAATCTGTTTGGGTTGAGATAATTGATCTGCTACTGCAGCCATCAGCCGTGAAACATGGCAAGCTAGTAGGGTGATAGAAGTGGTCCTGAGAAAGGAAGTTCAAGATTCGAAAACAAAACAAAGGTAGCTTATCCAAAAGAGGTCATCTTTTTTTCTTTTTGTTTCATTTAAAGACTGTATTGATTGGAACAACATTTAGTCAAGTAAGTTTGTTTTGTTAGAGCAGAGCAACATTGGGCTATATGCTGTGTCCACTATAGGAAATGGAACCTCAGATTCCAGCATTGCAAGTATGTAAACTCACCAGAAAAAAGTGAATGTAAATTATCTACAGAATGTCAAGGACCACCCTCAATTGCAGCCTCAGAGCTCAAAGTCCCCCAGAGGAACACCACAGAACCAGATATATGTCTCCATCTCACTACGATTAAGATCACTGACAGTCTCAACCGAGAGTGACTCCCCCTTCCCCCCAATTGTTGTGCAATGCTAGATATCAGAAGTGGGATAGGAGAGACCCGATTTGCCTCTGTGACAGAAATAATTATAATTTGGGAATCGTACCATAAATCAGCCTGCCAATAAGATTTTTTTTTTACAAAATTCAACTAAATCAACCAGGTAACACGAAGAACATTCAAAGTATCGAGAAAAAGTGATAACATTATCTAACATTATCAGTACTAGGATAGAGGGTGCATTGACGTAGGTGGAGAGTATCAGGAGAAAGATATTGCCAATGGAAATTGAGTGGGGTATAAAAGACTGGAGAATGTGAAAAAAAAATCAAACCAATGCTTAGATGGGTAAAGGAAGAAACCCTGGCAGTAGAGTAATAGCTGTATGTTTCTCTGTTATGGTAAATATAATTTGATTATGTACCAATAAATCTATCATTTAATTATAAGTGTTTATGTAAGGTAGCTGGGCAATCCTTCCTAATCTTCTGGAAATTCAGCTAAGGTCTCTTGTTTCTTTTGTAACCTGTTCCAGAATTTTGCTTTGGATATTTCCTTCTAGTGTGTCACTCCAAACATGTTGGATAAGGCAACTACTAATGGTTGGTAGTTGTTATGGCTCTCAACTAGATGGCTATTTAATGTTTTCAAAGCCGGTCCTTTTAAATGAGCAGCAAGATGGATGGCTTATTATTCACTATTTCATCCATTCACTCTGAAAATGATTTCGAACTGAGCATGGTATGACTCCCATACTACCTTCTCATTGTAGTCCATTGGTTTCTTTATTTACCAATGTTGAACTGACTAGTAAATTCTGGAACTGGATTTGGTTGTGTCAAAGATAGTGTAATAGTAGTAGTAATAGGTGTAGACTAAATAAGTTCTTCTATTCTATATCTTGTAGTAGATGGATTTTTAGGTTAGAATGTCTGAGCTGATGCAGAACGAGATGCAGCTAGTTTAATTTTCAAATTTAATTTTCACTGTTCAGATGCTTTGTTCTGTCACTGATGATTTTTTTCTACCTCACTGATGTTTTTCTTTACTTTACCAATTTTATTATTACATACTTTCTTTAATTTCTTGATGTCTTTCTGTACCTCTTCAAACCGTTTGTTGTAATATCTCTGTACATCTCAAATAGTTTCATAAATCTTGTCTTCAATCAAACTTAATTTTTTATTTTAATTCTTCCTTGAAGAGTAGGTCTTTGTTTTGTAACTCTTCTCTTTAAATTCCTGTTTATTACCTCTTCATCTTCTATTATTCATAATTCACTTACTTCTTGGTCCTCTTTCAATTTTTAGTAAGTTTCTTCTTGGTTTTCTTTTAATATTCTGTCTTGAATTTTTTGGTCTTTTAATTTTATACCTCTTCCCTCATTTTAATTTTCTGTGCCTTTCCTCTCTGTCTGCTTTAAATTTTCAACCTCTTTCTTCTTGATCTTGTTTTAATAAATTCTTCAACTCATGTAATATTCGTATTTCACAACTTGACCTTGTGTTATCCCTTTTAAACAGTGGAAGTTATGTTTCAAGCCCCCCCCCCCCCCCCCAGTGGCACAGCGGTATGTCTGCGGACTGACAATGCTACAATCTGGGTTTTGATACCCATGATGGGCAGAGCACAGATAGCCCATTGTGTAGCTTTGTACTTAATTACAAACAATATTTCATGTATATTTAGTTATATTTTATTTTCACCAAATAATCTCCCTCCTAACATTAGTGTTGCAACATTGTTCTTTCTTTGGAAGATTCTTTAAGATTATTTGGTGAAAATAATTCAATGTCCAGTCCTTGTAATAATAATAAATTAATTTATTCCT